TTTTTAGTTATTAGATGAGAGAGATATATATATATATATATATATATATATATATATGATGTAGACGAATGAGTTTGAACGTGTTTACTCACTGCGATGCACTTCATGTTGCGGGTAGGTTGCGAGGAGTTGTTACGAGCTTGAGAGCTGGTTGAAAATCGATTGATGCTCGAAGCACGGTGGTGGCCCCCTTTTATACCTGTTCGATCGGTTGGTTGGCGGGTACGTGCATCGATTTTTGATAACCGTACTCGCGTAACCGCGCATAATTATTAACCTCTCTGGCGTTGTCGGTCACGGGGCTGCATCGTAGTTGACGGTGGATTGAGCAACACGTCCTTGGCCATTGTCCAAAACCGAGTAAGGATCGTTTCGATGTTTGGTTGATTAGATTTTTGTAATTCTTGAACAAGTCGTTGAGAAACGCTTCGTTGAATTGAATGGGATTGCAGATGTGTCGATTGGATCTTGTTTAAGGGAATTTTTAAATTATATTATTTAATTGTATCTTTTTGGAATTTAGATAATGCTTTTGTAACTTTATTTCACGATATTCGTATTATTTCAAATTTTTTTTAATTAATTGATTTATTAATTATCGATATATATATATATATTTTGTAAAATATTTTATATGAAAAATAAATTGAATTATGTTTATATTATACTTTTAAACGATGAATTTCAAATTTATTTGAAATAACAGAAATAATAATTTCAAGTGTGGTTAATTATCATTCAATAAATGTATTTCAATCCGTGTTATGTTTTTCGTATTCTTGAAATAACGTTCGGAATAAACAATGAACAATAAATTTCGGAAACATTTGAAATTATAAAATCACTTATTTCCATTACGATCAAATTAAAAATAATTTATTTCATAGAAACCATAAATTCATCAATCAATTTTATCATATCTTATTAATTTGCCATTATGGCGCATGACGATTATTAATTTCTAAGTTTCAAGTTTAAATTAATGACCGATTAAAACTCTTAGAATTCCATTTATAGAGTTAACCGAAGAAGCAAATGAAATATATATGGTTTGCACATCGATACACATAAATAAATATATGCATAAGACACGTGTCTTACATAAAATTCTTGTCGAATCGCTATTCTAACTTTCCAATCTTGCAAAGCTTAAACAATCGATTCTACAATTATTAATCGTAAAATAATAATCGACGTTATTTGGAATAATTTTTTCCTAAATTTATTATTTCAAGTAAATTTCGAATAGAAATTTGTAAGCTCTTTCTTTCGAAAAAGGGCTTTAATCTCGCGTCTAAAATCATTTAGAAGAACGATCGACCTTGTGGAGATCGAAGATTCCTAGCGAGTAGTGGGAGTTCCCTCAATTGAAATTCCATTTGGGCGCGTTACACGCGCAACATCATCGTCGCTCGTAATAATTTTCACGACGGTTTAGCTATTCCGTCCTTGTACCAAATTGGTCCTCGTTTGCGGCCACGAAGCCTAAATAGTCCCTCTTACCAACGCTCGTGTGCCATTGATGAACGGAAGAAGTTGAAGGGTTCGTTGCGACTGGCCCCTTAATCACGCTTGAATATTTAAAAAATCGGAGAATTTAGAGTAATTATGGAAAAGACGTCGTAAGATTCTTGGGAAATTAACGTTGTGCGAAAATATTTTGTGATAATCGTTAATATTGTAAATATGTTTGATCCAAGTATTTAATCGATTAAATTTTCAATGTATGATAATTTCATTTTCATAAAATTTAAATGTGAAAGTTTAAGTTTACGTTAAATTTGTTGTTTTTATCGAAATTTTATTCGTTTATAATAGATCAGTAGAGTGAGATGAGGCAACAAGTTTTTATTTTTTATTAAATTCGAGAAATAAAAACAAAAGAAAATACGATTAACATTCGGATAGATGTTTCTAAAAAAAAAGAAAAAGTAAATATTTTTTGTTCTTTGTTTAACATTTTTTTTATTATAACACTTGCTATAAATGCTATTCTTTTTTTTTTTTTTTATTTTTTTTCCTTCAAAATCTATATCATCGAACTTTTATTTGGCTTAATATTGTCCACCACTAGGAAGACATTAAAACGAAAATTTATATCTTATTCTAAGGAAAGATATCATTAGTTTCTAAAGAAATCAGTATGACATATATTAATCCAATTTAAAAATGAAACATCTATTTTAAATATTCGTTTTCCATTTTTTCATAATGTCAAAGTTAATCTATTCTATACGAAAGAAATATTTTATTGCAAAAATTTAAAATTACAAAATTTTAGATTGTATGTTGTAAAAGTTAAATTATGATAAAGTATAAATTTTTAGTGATAATAGATATATGAATATAACGAAATATAAAAATATTGAAAAGATGATAGATTTATTGTAAGAAACGAAATCTTTAAAAATAATCAAAGTTATATAAGTTTTAGAAAACTTTAATAACATATTTTATTAACGTAATAATAAATAAATTTTTGTTTTCGTAACATGTTTCTTTTTTCGTTTTTTTTTTTATTTTAACTAACGTCCTCTAGCAATGTCCTTATTTAACTGAAAGAAGAAAACAGGCAATACAAAACACACGAAGTCGACGACGCTTATGTTTTATTACCTACTAACATCTCTGAAATGGGCCACTTAGACGCCATATTGATCATAAAGTAAGAAAACACAATAACGTTACAAATATTATTCTTCAATATTTATTCTAAAATAAGTACTATAATTTATCATTTTTTGCGTATTTCTAAAAATCATTTATTCTTCAAAAATTTAACATAAATCATATCATTTGGTTAACTAAAAAATTAAAAAATTTACGAATCAATCTATCAATCAATTTGGCTTTCTCAAAAACTCAAGTATCGTATACAATATATACAACATATAATTACTCAAAATTATCAAGGATTAATTTTATTCTACTATATATCATTCGTTCCATTATTATTGTTACAATAATATTGATTAAACGATTAGAATTTCGTAGAATTTAGAAAACCAAGTAAAATTCTAAAACTGTGTTAGGCTGAAAGTTCCACAAAGGTGAAAAATATCGTTCTCGTCACGCTCGTTGACTCGTTATTCTCGCAGAAACGAGCGTGGCAAGACCACGATGACGACGACGACGAGGAAGCGATGCATCGTGGCACTGCGAAGTAGGCAATATCAACGTTGAGAGGACGGAAACGATGACGTTTAAGTAGCGTGTCTAGCATATTGCGTACGCCAGCTTCGTGAAAAGATATCTCTTAGGCCAATTGCATTAATGCCTGCGAAAGAAATTTCTTCGCTATTTGGAAAAGAATAGGAGAAACATTTATGATATTTTCTATTGTATTTCCTATTTGATGGTCGCTACGATGGAATTTTCTTTAACTAGTTGAGATTTCAAAAAATGTTCGAATAACGTCGAATTGATTATTCCAAGATTATAAATACGAAAAAAATTTATTTAATTATTTATGTATTATTAATATAGGAAATCATGCACAAATTTATTCGATGCTTCAAGTTATTTTCGAAGTAACATTATTTTTAAATTTAACCTTTAAAATTTTGTCCATCATTGATTTGAATAATGAAAATAATTAAATTGTAAATAATGAATATATGAATGTATATTTGTTATAAATGATAACGCGTTTCAGTGGATAATTTTTAAAATTTCTATTATTATCTAACTTTGCATTCAATCATTTTGCTTTTCTTGTAAGATTCATTTATATTTTTTATTTTTGCAGCCACTAATTATTACGCGAAATTTATCTGGCATGGTTATAAAATTATATTATATTATGGGAAAATGTTAAACTCAGTTACTCTGAATATACGTGTATAACAATAAATCCAGCATTCGAGAATATGAAATTTTATTTTTAAACGAGGATTTAAGCGATCATCATAAATTAATGTATTAAAAAATATAGATAAAATGAAATGTTTGTACTTTTTAATGCTATGCCAGTTTATTATAAAATATTTACGAATAAACTTCGTTTTTATTTATTAGAAAATACTTCGTACTATTCGTATTATTATTTCTCGAAATCATATATAATATTAAATATTGGGATTTAAACGAGAAATGAGATATTTGTAAATTAAATTGATCAAATACTTTTGAAAAAATTCTTAACTATTTTTATAACTCGATAGAATCGATCGTTTCTGGCTTAAAATTTAAATTTAAAACTTAAATCGTTTTGTTAAATTGTTTTCTTTTTTTAAAAACACTCAAATGCAAAATTAAAATTAGCTTTTAAAAAATTATTTTTCGCATTCGAAAGTTGTTTCTTGTTTATCGTAAGTAAATTTTAGCAACAAAAATTTCATTTTAAAATTGAAATTACAATTTAATAAACGAATAATGTCTATAATGTAGTTGGTTAATTTCGTGATTGAATAAAAATATTAAATAAAGAGTTAAAAAAGAAGTACTTTGCTTTTTTTTTTTTTTTCTACAAAAATTAAGTTTCGTGCTTTTTACGTAAAAAAAATGTTGTACCAAAAATTTATTATCACGAAGAAGAAATTAATGATAAAAGTATCTAACGATTTTTACATTTTCAACGGCTAGAAACCGTTTACAATTTGCAAAAATTTTATAATTAAAACGTCATTCCCAGCAGAGTTTTATTATTAAAAATGAATATAAAATTCATTGTTTCATTATATTATATTTATAACTACTTGTTTAAAATTATTGTTAAAATTAAATAAATTTTAGTTACAATCGAAATGCAAATTAAAGATTGATGAAAGAGCATGAAAATATTAAAATTGAGAGAGCTTGTTAAATGAAGTTAAAAAGAAGATGTAACGATAAACAGTAAAGTTGATGCATTGTAAAATGCATATAATTCATGAAATATGAAAAAAGATGAAAATATAAAGAATTACATTATACATTGTAAATGTAGAATCTTATATTCTATGTTTGCGATTGCATGCAAAGTCTAAAGCATTAAAAACTTTAATATGATGATGTATTTGAAAAAAGCTATTATCTGACTTTGTTCATATAGTTATCGTAATAATTTTGTTTAAAAATTTCATTTGAGTGGGAAAGATTTTTTTATATATAAAAAAATGAGATTCACCAATGTTTTTTGTTATTTAAAAGTAAAAAATTATTCATTTATTCGATAAAATTGAAAATTTGATTTGGAATTTCTTAAAGTATGCTTAGAACGAATCAAAATTAAATTTACATAAGGGAAAACTTAACCTAACTTTTTATGTTTCTTTGTGTACTCCATCTTTGATGTTTTGATTCGTAAAGACAGTTATCGAGTCATCGATCAAATCTAATATAACAAAACAAAAGATAAAAATAACGTTTTATATTATTTGAAAATAATGATATTTCATTATCAAAATTTTTGTGATTTTATATTTAAAAAAAGATTTTAACGATTTAGAATCTTTGAATTGAAATAAA